ACAGTAAAGTATTAGTCCCTGTAGGTAGACAGGTCCAATTAATTCAGGTTAAGGTCTGTTAAATAAATATGAAAAGGCCCTCTCTAAAATAATAACTAATTAATAAAATTTGAGAGGACAGAAAAAAAGAGATTCCAATGTGCAAATTTGGACAATAAAACACGTTTTTCAGAAATGTGTTCAGTGTTTCTACTTCTGCCTGTTATGGTAATGCTGATACAGTTCACAGTGACATAAAATGACACTTGTGATCCCTGGGTCTTCCATTTAAAATGCTAAATAAATGAGACACATTAACAAAGAAGGTTTGCCTTCTCAGCATTGATATGCTTGTATTCAATTCAATTTTCATTGTATGTATAAATAAAGGAAAAACACTTCTCTTGCTTATCTTCTGTTCTTTTGAAGTGCTGTTGATGAACATATGAATTTTTACCTGGCTGGAAAAAGTACTAGTAGATAGACCAGTGTGTCTTGTGGCAAGATCTTCAACATAGGAAGCAACTGCAACCCACCACAGCAAAAAGTGTTGGAAACCAGCAAGCAAAAGCCAAGTCAGAAAGTGATATTTTCATATCCCAGCAGATGCCAGGTCACGGTGGAGGGAGATATTTTCCAGAGGTTGTGAGAGTATTTTCTCCTTTGTTTAGCTTTGAAGCGATTTCATGGTTCTTCGGAGTATCGAAGGGAGATGGAAGACATACAGCAGGAAAGCTTTGCCTTGGATGGGGAAAAGGCCAAGGGGCCCTGTCACTTATTCACTGACCGTGCTGTAAGATGGCAGCTCATTACTGTGATTGTGATGACTATGGGCCAGCAGCTCAGTGGGATAAATGCTGTAAGATTTCATATCTATAAATGGCTTTAATAATGATTTAATTTTCATGTGGTTTCCAACCTTTTATTAACATAAAAGATCCACATAGAGAAGCCCAGAGAAATGGGGTAAGTGGGAAAGAATATCTTAGTGGTACATCTGTGTTTCTCTCTTCAATTGTTTCTCCTTTCTATGTTTCTAGTATGTAAATTTCTTTAAAGAGTGACTTAATACTTGCACATTCTCTGAGAAAGTAGATGAAGGTGGATCAGCTCACATGCTGTGTCTGGTTTCAGAATGTGAAGTATTATGTTCAGTAGGTTGGATAATTGTATTTGCCTTTATCATAGCAATGTATTTACCTACGTAAGAATAAAACAGATTCTTCTTGTGTTTATGTCATATTAATAACTAAAAATATAACATCCGTTAAGCTGTGTGTTTGGTATGAACTTGACTTTGTTTCCAGCTGATGATTTAACTTCCAGGAAAGACCCATTTTTTCCTGTCATAGATTTATTTCTATGCAACTTACATTTTTGAACAAGCTGGGATCTCAGCAGAACAAATCCCATATGTGACACTCGGCACTGGAGCTTGTGAATGCCTCACAGCCCTCACCTGTGTAAGTAGCAATTTATCCTACCTCCTAATGTCAAGAGTACAGATGCCTCTTAAATAAGAACATTGATAACATGAGATCAACACAGTAACGGAAAACGATGTCTTCTCCACAGGGTTTACTGATTGACTACGTGGGAAGAAGATACCTCATCATTGGGGGTTATCTCCTTATGACCCTTTGGAGCATTGTTTTAACATTCTCCCTGACTTACCAGGTATAAAGGAGGACTCATTTATATTACATGATATGACTCTAGTGAGTGAAAATCTGTGACACTCAAAAGAAGCTGGAAGAGAGGTTTAAACAGCAGCATAAAAAGTGACATCACTTGAAAGATTTGATCAATTCTGCAGCTGTATTTCCCTAAAATAAGAGATTTGATCATGTGTTTGTCTTAAAGCTGCAGCTGCGTTTAATGCTGACAAAACTAAGTGATGACAAAATGTCATTTATTTTAGCTGTTAAAGTCATTTTAGGATGAAATGCTACGTCGTGATGATATTAAGCATCGGTGTTCAGTCATCGAACTGTAAAGTGAACAAACAATATTGTCAAGATGCTGAAATTCAAAAGACACTTAAATTCAAAGTGTAATTTCACAAAAACTATTGGAAACTCACTAGAGGGATTCACTTTAAATTAAGCTCTAAACTTACTGTGCGAAGATGACATCCTGCCCCGCTTTTTACCTGCAGTGGTTTTGTATGGGTGGCGTGAAGCAAGCTGCTAGGCCAGGCAGCAGGTTGGATGAGTCAACCTTGGGCAGAGGCCTTGGTTTTAATTGTTCTAATTGTAACTTCTGTCTTTGTTTGCTTTTGAATAATGGGATTTCAAACTTTTAAGTTTGGTCTTTCTAATGCACGCAGTTTCATATGTATATAGTAATGCTAATGTTTCTTTACTGTGCTGTTGAAATTTATGTATAGATAAATAATGATATACGAGGAATTTGTTCGTGCTGTGAAAGTGGTTGGTGGCAGCTAACTCATGGATCAGTATAAAATGCCAAAATAAACTGACAAAGTGTTAACAAGACGTAATTGCTGTGTTCAATGTTGGTGTCGATTTTTAGCCTCAGAGGACTAATTCCAAATCTCAGCAGAAGTACTGGACTCCATTTAGTACAAATTACTAAATGAGCAATATTTAATTTCTCTGAAGCAATACTGTTAAATAAACCAGCCATGAGTGACTGTTTGTCTTACAGGGAATAAAATAACAAAAGAAAATGTAACTGTTAAGCCAAACTTTAAAACTGGATTCGCAAAATCTAAACTAAACCTTCTCTTCTGCTGCAGGAACTGTACCCTTGGGTGCCTTATGTGAGCATGACATCGATCTTTGCCTTCATCTTGAGCTTCGGGCTGGGGCCAGGTAGGACACAGTGATTAATGCATGTTCTGAAGTGGTGAGGGGGACAGCAGCAGCTCTGCTCTCTGAGGCAGGCACTATGTTTCTCTGGCAAAGGAACACAGAGAGCCCGTGTGCTGATGCCTTTAGTCTCTGTAGCCTCAGAGTGCGGGTCAGCTGTGCATGAGGGGACTCTGTTCTGCCTTCAGTTCAGCCCGGTCAGACACAAAGCAAGCAGCAGCCTGTTGGGTTTTCCCTTGCTCCCTGAGCAGTGCTGGAATTGGGCTGCTCCTCAGGAGGACACTTACTGCACGGGCAGTGGATTCAAAAATGTGCTGTTACAAATACATATGTTTTTCAGTAGAACCAGATCAGCCAGTGGCACATCCAAAAGCAGCTCAATTTTTCCAGCATTGGAAATACCACAAATGGGCGTATAGTGTAACAACCTCGTTTCTGAAATCACTCCCCAGGTGGCATAACAAATACCCTGATAGCTGAACTGTTCATACAGTCATCACGTCCTGCTGCTTACATGATAGGAGGGACCATCAGTTGGATTAGTTTCTTCACCATTGGGATGCTCTTCCCTTTCATAGTGGTAAGTGTGTGTAACATTTTCCTGGTTGCCTCACCTCTTGTGTAATCTTTTCTCAGGCTCCATCACAGTGTTCTTTGTGCAGTAGCACTTAAACATAGGGTGCTGACTACCCCTCAACCGAGTATAACTAGAGCCAATCCCTCTTAAAGAATGTACTATTTATCAGAAAAAGTAGTAAACCACAATAAAGGGAAATGGAAAGTGATGCCTGAGGGGGGTTTCAGATCAGAAAAAACCGAACCAGAGAAAGCATCGGAACTAGAAAAATCACATCAGATGCAGAGATCCAGGTAACACGTCTCCTAAATGGTGCCCTGTGCTTCTGTGGCCAAGTGAAGTAGTAGTGCCTGGGGCTCGGGGTTCACAGCCCTGAGAGCCCCCAGAGCTCCGTGCAGAGGGTTCTGTGCTCACGGGGATTAGTAGGAAAACAGCGGAGGCTTTCATCCCAGCTTTGTGTTCCCAGTTGAGAGTAAAACATGCAGGAACAGGAGGTGACAGGGCAGCCTGACCCATCAGTCCTTTCTCTCAGTTGAACTCTGCTTCTCAGCAAGCTAGTTGTTTTTTTCATGTATAGCATTGACAAATACTAGCAAACATTCAGGGAAAGATAATCTTAACATTGTGGATTGTTCAGTCGGGTTTAAATGTCTTTCCTTTTTTTATTAAGAGACCTGCCAAGTGTATTGCACAGTGCTTGGTAGTCTTCTATCTAAAAAACTGAACATAAAATGTTACATGTAAAGGATATGTTGAATGGTTTTTTATTAAACATATCTGAGCAGCAGCATCAGGTGTGAAACAAAAAGCTTTTTATTTTCCAAATGCCACTGTTGGACTTGAAATACATTACACTCAAATAAATTTCCTTTTCAGAACAGACTGAAGCAGTATTGCTTCCTGGTGTTCTTACTCGAATGCTCCTCTGTGGCTGCTTTCCTCTTCCTTGTCATTCCCGAGACAAAAAACAAATCTTTTCTGGCAATCAAAAAGGAATTTCACAAGCTTAATTTTGGAAGAAATACAAAAAGAAAGGAAACGGAGCTTTTTGAAAGAAGACAACTCCATGATGGATTTTAAAAACCACCTGTGTGATGTCACTGCTGCAGCAGAACCTCCATGAGGATTATGAACAGCATCTTGTAAACTAGCTGTGCAATGCCATGAGCAAGCAGTTCATTCAAGCCTCCTGTGTGTTAAGAGGACTTTTAATAAAAGGCAACTTAAATAACTTCTTTGAAAGATTTAAGGACATTCCTCACCTAGACCCACCACCGTATCTGTACAAAGACAGGTCAGCACCTGTCTGAATTACTATTTGTAACACATTTTATTAGAAAGACTTGTTTCCTAAAAGGGTACAAATAAAACAGATTCTGGGGTTTGAGTCTGGGTTTATTTTTTTGCCTTAACTAGCATCTTAACGTTTGAAAGTGGGCAAGTTCCATCTGTTACTCAGTAAGTGCTTCTGTAAGCACTGGATTTCTCTTACGTTTATCTCCCTTCTCTCAGAGTGAAAGATTGTAATGAAAGGAAGCAAACACCATTTTTCTCACTTGGTAACTAAATCAGCTGTTTAATTGCAAATAACAACAGTAAAGGAGGTAGTATCAGGAAGGGATCTTCTTGTTCTTTAGTTTATCCTCTAAGTTTGCAAAATACTTCATTTTGGCTAAAAGCTTCTTTGCTTCCTGAAGGTCATCTGAAATGAATGTAAACAGGACTAGTTAGAGAGGCTGAATTTTCATCTTCAAATAAATCTCAAGATTTCAATGACAGCACCTGTGGCAGCACAAAGAGGTACAAGTTGCAAAGACCCATAATCCACTGTTAAACCAGGATGCCCACTGGTTTCATCTCGGATCACTTTGGAACACCTTGACTGAGGTGCTCAGCACCCACTACTCTGCTGACAGCTTCTGTCTGCAGAGCAAGATCCCCCAAATGCAAGTCTGAAACCTCAGAATTGGTGCTAAGTTTGGGTAAGTCTGACCTTCCTGCTCCTCTGGGAACCAAGCAACCAGAACATTTCTCAGCATCTGCATTCCCACGGGAAGGGATCATCTGGATGAAGACTGAATTAACTGGAAGTTTTGTGCTGGATGGGGTTTTTTGCATCTAATGCAGAATTTCCTGAATCAGCAGAAAGGTCAGCTTTTAGTATTTATCCTAAACATCATACAAAGAACACTTGTGTTTGCAGTATTTCTGTTCTGTACTTCAGAAATAATTGCCAGTAGGAGCGTGGGTCTTAAGCATTTAGAACAGGTTTGCATGGCAGCCAGATGCTTCACAGAACAGCTACCTCTTTCAAAAGCTGCAGCCACCTCTCTGGTCAGTTCCTCTTGTTTAACTGTAAAACAAATCATTTCATTCACTTTTTGTTACATACTTAATATACTGAATCCCACTGTATTTTGACTATGTTGGGGAAACCTAGCTGCTAACCTCACAGTCTTCTGGGAGCTGAAAGAGCTTTCCATCCTAATGCTGTGATTTATGCAATTGCAATTCCAGGCAGATAAGCTTCTTTGTTTAAACAGGTTTACAGACAGCAATTCCAGTGCAAATTGATGGTCACTAACTTCCCAGAGCTCTAACTCACTTTGGGTGTTCACCCTGCTGCAGTTAATTTTATTCTATTCTACTTAGGTTTTATTCTTGTTTTTCTAATTGCTTTTGGCACACAGAGAATTAAATAGACCACTAAACTCCATGTTTTGGGCATCACCAACAAAATAATTGAGGAAGTTGCTTGTATAAGGATAATAACCACTTAATATAATGGGGTTTAAGTTGAAGAAGGTGGAAGAAATACAATGTCAGTATAAATTAAATTATTTAGTGTGGTCAGTCAAGCATTTTATTAAACTTCATTTTGAGTGGTTTGTTCTTTTGCAAGAGCCCACTTGCCCTGATCAGCTGAGTAAGTGTCTTTATGCAGTCAACTGCTACCCCTGTTTTGCCATCAGAACAGTGTCTGCTGTGCAGACTTTCTCCAGACAGAGCTGGTATTTAAATTAAAAATGGCATAAACTGGTAAAGACAACTTTTTGCGGGGGGAAGCTCTTGCAGTGAGTGGACTCAAGACTAACACAAGTTAGAGATGCTAAAATACATTGAGAAGAGTCTTAGACTCACATATTACATAAGATAGAGTATTTTAGAGCTGTATAAACACCTCAACTCATAACCTACCTTTAATCAAAGTGTCAATTTCCTCAAGGATATCATCACTTTTAGACTCTGCTAATTTCTCATTAATTTCCATGATTTCCATGAGAAACACGGAGTCTGCATCACAGTCTGTCTCCTGTGCTGGCGCCATTCCATGCAGCTCCAGCTGTGAAAAGATGGGGATTTGGAAATGCTCATTCTTACATCTATTTCAGTGTGAATTTCCTCGATTCTTTAGTCCCTGAACAGGGCTCACTCAGCTTCATATCCGACAAACTTTCATTTTATTCTTCCAGGAAATGTGCATAAATGGAGTTGGCCTGAAAACTGACTCCAGAGGTAAACCATGAAAATCAGCCGTTGGCCAAAGGAGAAAACTGCAGCAAAGGTGCCGAGGCCAGACTGGAATTTCCAAGGAACAGCCACAGCCAAACAGAGTGTGAGATGCAAGAAACAAATTAAGGTGACGTGAGCAGCAAATGAGATGGCAACAAGCAGTGAAATCTTAAAGAAAACATTTGAAAAGCTGATGTAAGTTTTCAGACAAGGTTGTTTTCGGTCTCCGAATCTCTGGTAACTCTCTTCTTTGGAGGAATGCAAATCAGCATGTTAACGGTGGAGCTGAAGTCTGATCCAGTGTATTGCCACCAGCAGCCCCAGTCACCTGTGATCAGCTGTAAGAGCAATGACAAAATATACAAGGACACCTTACCAGGTAGATGCCGCGGCTCAGAGGGTTCAGGAGGGTTTGATACGCCTTGTTAATCAAGGACGAGTGTTGCTCAGAGTAGTACTGTTCTTCCTGCGCACGGGTGATAAACAACAGCAACGAGTTAACACCGCACCGCGCTCTGGGACCTGCAGGGCGAGCGCTCCCCAACCACGCGCGTGCATAAAGGTGATTTTTGGCAGAGCTCGGGCGCACGGAGCCAGCACTTCTGCACGTGCCTCCGCGCTCCGCCCCTCATCGCCATCCTCCAGCGCGAGT